GAGCTCTACAGTAGGGGATCCTGTTGTTGATCCAATCTAACTAAAAAGCCCCCAGGGGGGGTTATACTACAACGGATAGTCGTCGGTGCCGGACCCACGGGGTCTCCGTGACTTCTGGCGGGGCAGCGGGGAATATTATCGGTAAGTATCGCCCTGTCCCTGCGAGGGCGGATGGTGACGGGTCTGGGTAGCTGGAAAAAGACGGCTCACGCGACCGCGTGAGCGTAGCCGTCTTTACGGTTTTTTGTACTACCGGGACTATCCGAGGTGGTCGCGCCGCCATCGACAGCCAGCGCAACCTCGGGCCTCTCGTTGAGTACGTGAGGACGACTCCTCAACTTCGAGCCGGTAGCCTCCGCGAAGTACTCCGGTACTTCATGGACTTGGGCTGCAACGTTCGGACGTTGCAGCACTTGAGGAGCGGCCAACGTCGGGGATCCTTCATGCTCATCCGCGGGCAGAGGATCCAGGTCCTCTGCTCAATCCTGGAAGTACATGATTGCGTTCTGTACCCCTGGAGGAAGTTGGGATCGGTCCCTGTTTCCTCTCCCCTCCTGGCGCGGGTATCGAGTATCCGCTTGGCGGAAGTCGCGTCGGTCACGAGTATCGAGCTCGTTGCGACCGTACCCGCCCCCGCATGGGGCGAAGCGTGCGCCCCCACCAGATCGATTCGGGAAACCTTGGCGCGGGGGACGGCCCTCGCCCGCCGCTTGCCGGAGGAGATTACGCGCCTCTGGGCGCGTCTCCATCTGGTAGTGGTAGTTCCTGTACGCCGTGAACATTCGTTGTTCCGGAGACAGGAACGGGCAGGCGTACATGGCGTGGCCGTACGTACGGCATAGCCAGCAGACGTATGCACTGCCGTCCGGTGAGGCGAAGGCCGCCGCGTGCCGCGCCTCCTCATCGGTGAGGAGGGGCACTTGAGGCGCTGCGCCCCCTGCATCTCGATTGGATATGACGAGCTCTGCGCCCCGAGGGTCCGTACCCCTTGCCACTCTTGGAGTGTGCGCGAAGGCGGTCGCGTAACTTGATGTCGTTTCGGTCGACGTCGGCGGCGTGGGAAGTCATCCTCCCACGGGCCCTGCTCCTTGCGCAATGAGGACCGGGTCAGCCTGCCACTCATCCTCCCTGATGTGGAGGGCTGAAGCGGGCGAACTTGTCGCGGCGGACTTCGGAGTCCGCCCCGTCTTCCCTGCCGGTTTCGGATCCGGCAGAGGTAAGCCGCGGCGAGCGCGGTAAGTTGTCCCTTCCGCCGTTGCAATACGGCGGATATTCGGAAGATCGGTCTTCTGGCTACTTGGCAGCCGTTGAACTGTCTCGGAAACTGCGGCACGGGTCGCAGGTGCCAGTCCCCGCACAAAGTAGTGCGCGAGGGACTGTTAGGAGAACACTGCCGTGCACCGGAACGCGGCCGTTTCCAGCCGGTCCGCAAATGTGTTCTCCGTCTCGTGCAGTTGTTGCCTCGCCGTACCGACGGCGTCGTACGCTTCACCTAACACGTCGTCGGTTAGGTAGCATTTTAGGATTGATTAACGAGCCCCGGCCAGCTCACGTCGTCGTAGAGTTGGCCGGCGCGGAGGCCACGCATCGTGTAACTCGTATACAGGCGCTCCGCGTCGCGCTCTAGGAAGTGAGAGAGGACTCGTACCGCAACACCTTCGGTAAGGTGTTGCGAGTTGAAGGTTATCCGGATATCCTTCAAGAACGGCAGCAGTTCGATCGGGTCGGTACCGTCGAAGCTACGCATCGTGGGACGGATCCCACGACAGCGTTGTACGTACTTCGCGATCCGTCCCGCGTCACCCGAGGTGACGAGCCTCCAGGTGTTATCCAAGCGGTACATAACATAGTCAGCAACGGCGCTGAACTCTTGGATCATCGTATGCACCGGCTCGAGCCCGGGCTCCGCGGGACCTAGCGTGCCAAAGGCAGTGACGGGTAGCGTACGGACGTCTACCGGACCTGGAGGCGCGGTGTAACCCGCCGGCGCGTAGCCGCCCCAGCGGGGATCGACGAAGAACATGGGTTCTCCGGTCCCGCGAGCGGCTCCTCCACGGTCCTGTACGTCGGCGTACGATACGCGTTCCAGCTGCCGCCTACTTCCGCAGATAGGCGGCAATGCTTGGGTCGCGGAAGCGAGATTCGCGCCCATCGGAGGGCGGTGTCCTTCCGCAGTCCGACTGGTGTCGGCGCCAGTCTACTCCAACCTTCCGGAGCGACGGCGCCCGGAGGTACGGCAGCACCGGGCCCTCTCGTGGAGGCACCGGGCAGCCTTGCGGCCATGGTCCGTTCCATGTCACGAGCACGCTGTCGCGTAGCGTTGAGCTCGGCGGAGAGGTGCGCGAACGCACCCAACTGTTCCGCAGACGGGGACGGTCGATCGTCAGGACGTCTCGTCGAGGTCGGCCTCGTGGGGCGACCTTGCCCGTGCAGCACGGGCTGTGCGAGGCGTGAGTCTTCGACGAGCACCAGTCGCGAGTGTAAGTCGTCGACTAGTGCTCGGAGATTATCCAAGGACTGGCTGACTCGATCGAACCTCCCTTCACGTAGGGAGCGGAGCTCGTCCATACATCGCGAGTAGACGGCGTCCGTCACGTCTATGTGGAGTGAAGTACGGACTTCCTCAATGTAGTCAGCCATGCGATCGAATACCGCAGCCGCTTGTCCATCGGGGGACTCGGGCGACGGTTCGCGGTCTAGAAGACCAGTCGCCGTCGCCGAACGGCGGTGATTGTGCGTGCATAGCGGCCGCCCTCGGATCCGCCGGTTCGGACCAGATCGAGGTGGCGTCTTCTTGACTCATCTCAACGCGTACAGACGCGGAAGAAAAAGAAAGTCTTCTCGGAAAGATCTCGGGGTCTTCTAGGTCGGGAGACCACTGTAGCATAAACACCCTCACGGAGAAGGGTGTTTGCTCACAGCTCGACGGAGACTCCGGATCGACGGAAGACGGGGAAAGAAAGCACCACCGGCTATCGGAACCGGGCGAGCCCGGCACACGTGGACACACGCGGTGGTACTGTAGAGCGTCGGGCTCTACAGGAACTAAATCAATCGTGATATAATCTAAAGTAAGTCCCCCAGGGGGGGGTTATGCTACACAAAACACATGTTTTCGCGACTTTACGGACAACGTTATTGATGGAGAGGATGGACTGCATTGAATGGAAAGTCCCCATCCAATACAGTCCATCCTGTCTCCATTAGAGACCAATCCCCCTTAGTAAAATCGGTGTCTGTGTGTCTGTGTGTCTGCGCGTCTGTCGGTTCCCGCGTTGGCATTGGCGGTGCCGTGAAAAGTGGCGGCCATGGGCGGGGCGCGCCCTGGCCTGCGGCCAGGCCGCCCCGGGTGACAAGTGGCGACAAGTGCAAAAATTAAAGTAGCCCTACTTTGGCAGCACAGTACCGGGTTGCGCTTTCAACAATTTTCAGTACACTTTCACCACGTGACGGCTCCCTGGTAGCGTGGTGACCAGAGTCTGGGCAAGGCAGCGATCGTGATTATATGCCGGCTTAGTAGTGGGTCGAATACGGCATTCCCTGCGAAAAGTTCACCGGATTGCTTGACGGCATCCGGATAGTCCCTAGGTGTCTATTGTGCTTTGCTTTTAGTATCCCGCGGTAGTCTGCTGCTGTGCAAGAAGCCTAATCCGGTAGCGCACCATTTCTTGGTGCTGCAGTACCGGGCTCGGAACAACGGCCTCCACAAAGCAATTTGTGGACGTCGGACTGACGTTTTTATTGCAACGTCGACAACTAAGATCAAACGCAGCCTCCGTCAAACTATAGAGGCTGCAAGAATACACAGTGTAGGTGCCGTTAGGGTTTGGGAAACCTAGCCACCGCACTGAGGGAAAAGGGAGCGCGTACTTAGCGACCCCGGCGGGAAGAGCCTTGCAAGAGTTTCTTTCTAATACCGGGCTCCCTGGGAGTAGAAATAGACAAGGTGGTCGTACTCTGAGTATTAATACTGTACCCTGTGTATAGTAGGACCATTTTCTATTTCTATTTCTTTTTTGCTTCATTTGAATCACAGGACAGTACAAGAAAATAAAGGCCCTATTGTTACTCTTTTGGTAAGTGCTCTCGCGGACGACCTAGCTGGCTGACGTTGCGTTTAGACCTTTTAGGACTGCTTGCTACGACTCATAGCGATCTACAACGGACCTCTCGCACTTGCGTCAACCCTAGCTGCACTTACAGGGATAAAACTAGCGCGCCGAGCAGAATAAAAATGGTGGGACCAGCGGATGAAGACGTGGCCGAAGCAAGAAGGCAGCAAAGAGACGCCCGTGCAAGGGAAAGAAGAGCGCGAGAGTCCGAATCTGACGCTCAAGCACGTCGTGAGGCAGATCAAGCCCGTGCGAGAATCCGGATGGGGCAGCAAACCGAATCTCAGACTGAAGCGCGTCGCCGAGCCGACCGGGAACGTGCCGCAGCACGAAGAGCAGCAGAGACTTTCTGAGCAGCGCCAAGAGCGTCTCCGTCGAGGCAGGGAGAGATCAAGAGCGCGCAGAGCTGGAGAAACAACCCCCTCCGAGATGCACAGCGCGAAGCGGATCGCATTGCGACACGAGGCTCTAGAGGAGAGGAATGTACTCCCATTCGTGAGGCGCGGCGAGACCTTGACCGCCTCTCCACCCAACGATCAAGGGATGCGCAAAACACACCCATTCGGAATGAGAGGAAAAGATCCGACCGACAGTCTCGAAGTGCTTCTCGACAGCTCTTCCCCCCACTACCCGAATCCTCGCCTTCTTACCGCGATCTCGGCATGATGAGTATTGAGTGTTCGCACTGCAAAGCTCTGCATTTCGTCCAAGAACGCCTCATGAGCAGCTCTGCCGCAAGGCCCATGTTTTCTACGTGCTGTGGGAAGGGGAAGCTGTCACTGCCCCTTCTTCCCGACCCGCCAGCTCTTCTGCACTCTCCTCATCGATGATACTCCAAGGTCCCACCGCTTCCGTAAGAACATTCGAACTTACAATACAGCGCTGTCCATGGCGTCCGTGGTCGCTAAATGGGTGAGCAGAGGGCCCGGTACTTCCAATTTTAACCCCACAATGACGATGCAGCGCGAGATGTACCATTATATGGGCCCGATGATGCCATCCGAGGGGCGGGCGCCTTTCTATGCTTCCGTGTACATTCACGACAGTGACTACGCCACTCAGACGCGCACAAGGCTTGGAAACTCTAGACGACTGGAAGAGGCACTAATGACGCAACGGACCCAAATGCTGCACGAATGCAACACCTACGTGCAAACATTTCTGTGTATGCGAGAATGGGCTCAATCTCCTCACAAAAACACTCCAGCCGCGTACCAGATGGTCATCCATGCCGACAGCAGGCCAAGTTATGAGCACGTGCGCCGGTACAATGGTCCCGAAGCCTCTGAAGTGGCTGCATTGATCCCTGGAAATGAAGACGGAGAGATTGGGCGAAGAGATATCGTCGTGCGCAGGCGAGGGACTCTTAACAGTAATGGGAACGAAGTGCTGGATCCGATTTCAGTCAGTCATCGTGCATACGATCCATTGAGTTACGTGCTTTCGTTCCCGAACGGTAGAGATGGATGGTATCCAGAGCTTAGATTCTCCAGTGTTCAAGACGGCAGACGTACCAAGATTACTCCGATGATGTACTACGGATGGCATTTGTTCGAAAGAGCAGGCGAGTTCAGCACAATCTTGCACGCAGCACGACTCTTTCAGCAATATTTGGTTGACCAGTTCTGCAAAGTGGAGGCAGAATGGCTTTCGTATCTCCGCCACAACCAGACGCAGCTTCGAGCGGCAGAGTACACATCACTGCGCGAAGGACTAGGAGACTCCAGTCGTACTGAAGATGAGGCCGACGCCGTGCGTGCGGGACGACTGTTCATTCTCCCTTCTACATAAATTGCGGGTGACCGCTACATAAGGCAGCAGATGCACGACATCATTGCTATATCCAACCAGATTGGCCACCCGGACATCTTCCTCACCATGACATGCATTCCAAGCTGGCCGGAGATCACAAGAGCCCTACTGCCCAACCAAACGCCACAGGACAGACCGGATCTGTGCGCACGTGTGTTTCGTCTCAAAATGAAAGACCTCATGTGCTTGGTCATGGACGAGAAGGTATTCGGAACCGTCGTTGCCCATGCACGAGTCATCAAATTTCAGAAACGTGGTCTTCCCCACGCTCACGTCGTATTTTTCCTAGATGAAGTCTCCAAGAATGATCTGCGTACTCCCGAAAATGTCGACCGTATTATCTCTGCCGAGATCCCGTCTGCCGAAGATCCAGAACTCGGAGAGGTCGTGCTCAAGCATATGATCCACAATCCAGGTGGAGAACACAATCCAACAGCCGTGTGCATGGGCGAGCGTAGGAAAGGGTTTCCAAAATCGTTCAAACACGAAATCAGCCAGTCCGACAGTGAGTACTACATCACGTACCGCAGAAGGTCCCCTCGGCTGGGGGTGTCTCCATCGGAAGACCCTCCCGTATTGGCCGACGACAGCAATCCGTCGTGGTTGACAACTCCTGGGTCGTTCCCCACAGTCCTCTGCTTCTACGATCGTTCGCTTGCCATTTGAATGTGGAACTATGCGTGTCACGTGTTGGCGGAATCAAGTACCTCTTCAAGTATGTGTGCAAGGTACAGGACCGAGTGACCATGGAAAGCTCTGCTGAGAACGAGTGCTACGACGAGGTCTCCAACTTCTAAGATGCCAGATACGTTTCGGCATCGGAGGCCGCATGGCGACTATTCTCATTTGACATTGTCGATCGCAATCCTCCAGTGCTCAGACTTGCAGTGCATCTCAAAGTAAACCGTATGGTGGTCGGGCAGATGCCCAACCACCATACGTTTTACTTTGAGGAAGGACGAGAGCAGGAGGCGGCGCTACGACAAGCATCAGGTACGAAGCTGACCGAGTGGTTTAAAGGCAACGAAAAGTACCCAAGTGCGAGGCATATTCGGTACCACATGTTTCCAAGGTACTTTACGTGGAAGCACGCAGCAACTCATGGAGTCCAAGAGCAACTCTGAGAAGACGCAACGCCAGCAGCGATGAGGAAGCCTTTTATTTCAGTGGTACAGGCGCCAACGTAGTCGGTCGAATCTACACTGTCAGTCTGAGGGAGGGTGAGCGCTACTTCCTTCGCCTCCTCCTCACACAAGTGCCAGGGGCAACATCCTTCGAACCCTTGCGAAATATCGACGGCGAGTAGTGCAACAGCTTTCGACAAGCTTGCTTACGACTCGGTTTGCTGGCCGACGATGCAGAGTGGAAGCACGCCATCCGAGATTCATCCCATTCAAGCTTCGTTCCTCTTTCTCATCTGTTTGCTACGATTCTCGTACACCGCCAGCCTTCGGATCCTCTCTCGCTGTGGAACGAACACCTAGAACTGTTTCTCACCGATATTCGCAATCGGGCACGCGGACAACCCATTCGAAGACAGCAGCTTCGCGATGAGCACCACGCCGCATCTTACGTGCTTCGAGAGATGCAAGAGGCCCTGCAGACCGTGCGTTCCGACTGGACGCTCGCAAACTTCGGACTTCCACTCCCCGATGACAGCCTGCCCGCTTTGGAACAGAAACAAGAGATCCAGACCCCCGAAGCACAAGCACAACAGTGGGAACAGCGACTACAGACGTCTTTGCCGCTGTTGAACACAAATCAGCGCCATGCCTTTGACGAAATCGTAGGCTCCATGCTTCCAGGCATATCCGTTTCTGCATTGATTCAAGGATCCTCAAGCGCCGTTGCGGGGCCTTCTATGCCCACACAAAGTGGTCGTCTCCTCTTTCTCGGTGCTCCTGGCGGAACAGGCAAACATTCGTGCTCAGCGCCATCCAAGACTTCCTTCGTTCACGCCGTAGGCAAGTCATCGCTGTCGCTACGTCTGCTGTTGCTGCAGTGTTACTCGACGACGGTGGACGCACCGCTCATTCCGTGTTTAAGATTCTCATTCCTATATCTGCCGAAAGCACTTGCAGCTTCTCCACAAACTCCGACACAGGCCGTACATTGCAACAAGTCGATCTCATCATATGGGACGAGATCGTCATGTGTCATCGACACTGCATTGAGACTGTCAATCGTTCCCTTCGCGACTTGATGCAAACCGATCGGCCCTTCGGAGGAAAGTTCCTCGTGCTCGCTGGGGACTTTAGACAAATCCTTCCCGTCGTTCCGGGCGGGTCCAGGGGTCAAATCGTGAGCGCGTGCGTTAAGGCTTCCCCGCTATATCGAGAGTGCCGATTTCCTGCGGCTTACCGACAACATGAGCCTTCCTGATCTCCGAGCAGACCCTGCAGCAGATGTGGACGCTCTCAACTTTCCAGAGTTCCTCCTCAGCGTCGGGGAAGGCAGACTTCAAGGCGAACAGCGCCCGGAATGGATCTCACTACCGCAGTCCGTCGCGTTCGAGCATACCATCCGCAACTTATGCTTCAGGGTCTTCGAAGGGATTCGAGACAATTATGCCGACCCTGCCTGGCTCACCAAGCGCGTTATACTCACCACAAAGAACAGGCCGCTCGAACAAGTCAACGAGGTCATTGACAACATGATTTCGGGACCGTATCGAACGTACTTATGCGCAGACAAGGTTGAGAACGAAAACACAAACGCCCTGATCTATCCCACAGAACTCCTCAACACCTTGACGGCCTGGTCTGCTCTACCAGACCACAAGCTCAAGCTCAAGAAAGGCTTCATCGTCATGCTTCTCCGCAATCTCAATCCCGCTACCGGTCACGTCAGCGGCGCGCGATATGTCATCGAGAACATGACCAACAACCTTCTCGTTCTACGCGTTACCGCCGGGTCTCACGAAGGCAACCGACTCTGCCTTCATCGAATGCCCTGCGGACCGGGCGACGACAACTTTCCCATCCCTGGCTTTACCCGAACCCAGTTTCCCATTCGGAAGTGCTTCACCCTTACAACGAACAAAGCGCAAGGCCAATCCTTCGGTGGTCGCATTGGTCTCGACCTACGAGATCACTGCTTCTCGCACGGTCAACTCTACGTCGCCTTATCGAGGACTACTCACCCAAGCAACGTCACTATTTTCACTCGAGAGTCTGATGAAACAACGCGAAACGTAGTGTACCCCGAGGTCCTTCAGTGGTCATCAAAAAAGTAAACGCCATTATCTCTACATCTAACTATTGTCACCCTTCCCCACCATTGGTCCTCTACGCGGACTTGGCTCGGCGCGCGAAGCGCGCACGGAGACCACTTGTAGGATGATCTAAAATCGCTGAATGCCTCCATCTCCGACCACATTTCTCTTACCATTTGCGCCTTCGCGAGCCCCGTCCTCCTCGCCGTCCGCGCCGTCCGCGATGCCACTACCGTCGCTCTTGTTGGTAGTCGCATACAGCGTTCGGACGCGCGCCATCCAGAAAGTGCCACTACGGCCGCGCTCGCCCTCTCTACGGCCTGCTTCTCCGCTTCCCAGCTCCCGCGCCGCCAGCTCCAGCTCCTCCCGCGTTTCCTCGAACGCCAGTTCCTCCGCGGAAACCTGGTCCGACATCGTCTGCGCCGTCTTCTCCATCTCCCAAGCCTCGCTCTTCAGTCGCTCGCTCTCCCTCCTCACAGTTCCCAACTCCTTCCGCCCCACTTCCCCCGCCAGCTCGCTCGCCCGCCTCTCGTGCTACCTCAACGCCGCCTCCCCGCCGCCCTTCACCTCCTTTAGCATCGCCCTCAACTCAGCAACCTCACTCTCCCTCCTCCTCCTCTCGTCCTCCGTTCTCTCCATCTCCCCCGCCTTCTCCCCTACTTTTCCAATCACCCTCTCTCTCTCCCCCATCTCCACCCTCAGCCTCTCCTGAATCCGCCCGACCTCCATCTCGGCCTTCGCCGCCTCGTCCAGCGCCCTCTGCATCCTATCGCGCGAGTCCCCAATCCCCACCATGGCTACACTGTTACTTCGTAATTGTGGGACGCGAGGACAAGGAAGTGTGTTGAGTACTTCACGGCCACTACGGATTACTTATCTGTGAAATGTCATAGAAGCAATATCCCTATCATGCAGTTGCTATCTAACATCGGACGGGCAAGTGAGTGTGAAGTTTATATGGACATGCAAATTCGCGGGAAACCCAAGTTTGTGAAAGTTTTGATCGTCATTACAAAAGATTGGAGAAAACACAACAATACAGGGGGGGTCGCGATATAAGAGCAGGTTGAATAAGAGCTACCTCGCAATAAGAGCACCATTTTCGCTTGACACGGTATCATAACTTCGAGCACCATTACACCATGTAATTACAGTGTACTTACATTCACACAGGCCTTTCCTCGGCTTGTATTTGAAACCCATCTTAGAGGTCTCGCTCACAGACCGCCCGTACCATTCCTCCGCCGCAAAGATAAATACGGTGCCTCAAAATGACATTCCACTTTCCACAGGTGGCGCGCAACTCGCTTAAGAGGCGCAAGCGCCTTTTGTTGAAAGAGAAATCCGAGGCTGCGCGTTGTCTCCAGAACGGCGCAAGCGCTTCTTCGGTGATGAAGCGTTTTGGAATTGGACGCAGCACAGTCACAAGCATTAAGTCGAACCTCTCTGTGTTGATCTCAAAGGCTCACGCACATGGTGCCTCACTAGACGCAAAAAGCTTACGCACTCCGCCCCTTCTGGAACTCGAGGCAGAAATCCGCTAGAAAAACTTGCTGATGATTGCAATGTAACAGAGGTTGGGATGTTGTTACGGAGAGTGAGAAGCGTGTTTGCGCGCTTACGAGGGAGTGCTGCTGTGCACGGGTCCAGGCAACTGCTTATTGATGAGGTGCTACAGCGATCTGGGTAGTAAAATGGACATCCTGTGCCAAATTCTTGAATAACAGCAACCTCGGAATAAGAGCAGATGAAGGGGGTGGCACGGGGTGCTCTTATATCGTGGTCCTGACTGTACCGTCAAGAAGTTAGCGCACCGGTGCCTTATTTGCGTTTTTGTTTCCTTGCCGGACCAGTGGGGATAATCGACATCAAATCATCAAATTTTGGTTATTTGGTTATCCAGCGGTGGTGAT